CTAATTTAAAAAATTTTTTTGTAGAGGAAGGGTCGCACTATCTTGTCCAGACCAGTCTTGAACTCCTGGCCTAAAGCAATCCTCCTGCCTCAGCCTCCCAAAGTGCTAAGATTAAAGGCATGAGTCACCACTCCAGGCCTCGTTCTTTGAATTTTGAACCAAAGGAATGTATTACCTTCTCAAAAACAAATATATAAAATGTATATTAAAAAGGAAAAAAAAATGTATGCAAATCCTTGTGTATATGGGCACTGGTATATCTTGGGGAGGAGCCATAATTTTTGTTAGATTTTTCTAAGGTGTCTCTGACCCCAGAAAGGTTTAGAAAACATTTCACTAGATGACCTTAAGGAGTCATTCCCAAGCTGGGTGCGGTGGCTCATGCCTGTAATCCCAGTACTTTGGGAGGCTGAGGCAGGCAAATCACAAGGTCAGGAGTTCAAGACCAGCCTGGCCAACATGGTGAAACTCCATCTCTACTAAAAATACAAAAAATTAGCCAGGCGTAGTGGTGGGCGCCTGTAATCTCAGCTACTCAGGAGGCTGAGGCAGGAGAACAGCTTGAACCTGGGATGCGGAGGTTGCAGTGAGCCAAGATCACTCCACTGTACTCCAGCCTGGGCAACAGAACGAGACTCCATCTCAAAAAAATAAAAATAAAAATAAAAAAGTCATTCCCAGTGCAGTGGTGCTATCTACGCCCAGCTAATTTTTGTATTTTGTATTTTTAGTAGAGACGGGGTTTCACCATGTTGGCCAGGCTGGTCTTGACCTCAGGTGACCTGCCCACCTCAGCCTCCCAAAGTGCTGGGATTACAGGCGTGAACTACCACGCCCAGCCCCAATTCCAACTTCCTGACTTGATGAAGTACTACAGAAAACAAAAGTGAATTTCAGTACTTATTACATCAGCCAGTCTGGGCTGGATGCAAGTGAAAACACACCTTGAATCTTACATTGAGGACTTGATACGGTGAGCCGCCTTCGATGGTGGACTGTGGTGCCGCCTTCAGAGATCAAGTTCAAGAAATTACTTGCATTGGCCTATTCTCTCAAAGCTGTTGAATTGAGTCCTCATTGCCCCACCACTCTGCCCACTTAAACATGTCATTTGGATTTGCTGCACAAATGATGCACATAAATAAATATGAATTTTTAAATGTTGGCCACTTTGGCTCTGAGGGGAAAGGGAGTGAGAAGGATGGGAAATGAGGGTAGGAAGAAATGGAGGTAAAATGGAGATGAATGGAGCCTCGGCTCATCCAGAGGCCTGAGCTGAATCTCAAAAACCCACAAGAATCCTTACATGCCAGAGAGGAAAAGTGCTTCCTAGGCGCCCAAAGTGGAAAGCTTCAGGGAAAGGAGAATCGAGCTGAGGGATCAGAGCAAGGCTGGTTAAGGCAACCAGACTAGCAGCTGAATGGGTCTCAGCGAAGGAAAAGGTCACATGGTTAAAAAAGAAAAAAGACAGAGAGCGAGAGCCTCCATTTAACAAGTGGCCCCCGGCTATGATAAACTTTAATTAACTGCACTATTATAATTCACTTCTAGCCTGGGTTCCACCCCAACCTGCTCTCTCCCTCCCACTCCCTCCCTCCTCTCCCCAACATCTCTAGTCAGGTTTCCTTAGTGAAACCAAACTGGCCTCCATGGCTGGATTCCTCATTATTACAGCTACTGCTTCTACTGTTAATAATAGCACCCAGCAACAAGAAGGAAAGAAACAATGCTGTTCTTAGTGCTTAATGACAGGCCGCTCTTTCCTACCTATGTGCACTAGTAATCAAGGGTCTTATAATCCTAAAAGTTCCGGAGCATAATACCATAGTGATGAAGAGACAGTTGTAGGTTGGCAGGAGCAGCTGTGCACAAGAGACCGGTAACAGGGCCAACTCCCAGCTGGAGCCACCAGACACAACTCATAAGGTCCACGCCCAGATAGGTGATCCACATGTCTAAATTCACATGTGCTGTGCAATGCCGTGGCTGCACCCAGCGCTCCTTCCTTCAATGATGGTTAAATTATACCCGTGACACTGTATTCTCAGGCTGTTGAGCTTTACCCATTTTAAGAGTATGTGTCTTGGGAGTGGGAGTTGGGAGCATCTTAGAGGATCTTCCAGGCGAAACATGCTTGGTTTTTATTAATGAACTTATACGAAAAGCCAACCCAGACCTTTAAGTGAAATGTGTGGTTGGTAGCCAGGCGAGGATGGGTTTTGGAATTAACTCTTCCTACAGTCTGCTATGCATTATCACCCCCAAGTTAATTACCCCTGCGGATGAAAATAGGTTTCATGACTCATAAGCACCAATACAACACTTGGCAGCAGATGAAAATGCAAGGACACATTTGCAGGAAGCTGACATGAATATCTATTTATATGTGGGGAGATTCTTAAAGAGGTGAGACAGGCACCTCCCATGTACCAGGATTAAGAGGCTGCAGCAGATCCATCAATATTGCCACTTATCCACACCCACAAACACACACGCGAGTGCGCGTGCACACACACAGTCCTGGTTTCCACCACTTCAGTGATGGCAGTGGCAAAGCAGCAACAGAAACTAAAAGGGTGTTATTAACAAGTCCCGACACCAGCCCAGCCTCCACACCGGAGTTCTGGGCGAACCAGTGATTTGTTTCTCCCCAAACGTGCCTGCACCCATCTCCACTTCCCAGTCTTCCCACTCCTTTGATGGGAGTGGTGTGGGGGCTCCAAGTTTCTTAGAGTCCTTCAGCCTTCGAGGGGACCATCAGGGCCCAGCTCACCCCGCCCAGGAATGAGGTGTGGCCAGGAATCAATTTGACTGGATTGCCGGGTTTTGTTTTGCTTCCTCCCTCCTGTTTTCTGCTCTTCTATTTGCCTCCCAGGAAAGTACAAGGTTCAGATCAGGTTTATTTGCCTTCCCCTACCACTGGGAGGACTCCAGGCTGCTCTTAGCCCACAGGGCTCTGCTCTAAACGGCATTAGTCTTCTGTCCGCTTCCCCGCCTCTCTGCACCTCACAAACGCCGCCAAAAGCTGATGAGATGAATAATTGCATTGCTTCACCAGCAGGAAGGGATTTTTATTTGGTGTTGGAAGTAAACCTTTGCTTCAGGAACTAGGTTTGGGGTTTTTCCCCCTTCCTCATCCTTGGAAACCCTCTCTGATCAACTAAGTCTTCTGCCTTTAGAAGTAATTATTTAAAATAGAGGAAAGAAAACAAAGTGTAATGAATGAGGCGAAAACTGCTTTTCCAAGGCACCAGCCTGAAGCTACTGCGGACTCTCCAGGCTGAGTGTAAGCATTTGCTCCCAGCTCTGTGGCACTTTTGTTTTAAATATGCAAAGACGGATGTCTGTCATATCTAAGAAGCAAAGCATCCTAGCTTTTCTCCTAGACTTTTCCCCACACTTGTCAAGTCACCAGCTGCATTGGGTGTCAGCCTATATTCACGGCCACAGGGCGAGGCACCAGAAAGCATTCCTGACAATGCCATTTGCAGCTGGGCCCACATCCGGGGGAAAACAGAGATGCTGAAGAGTAAACCGAAATCGCTTAGTCAGCAACTGTCGCCTCCCCAAGAGGTGAATGTAAATAGCCTGGTACCGAGGGGGAGGGGCAGCAAGGCAGCACAAGCCCTTTCCCACAGGCCAGCTCCCAGGACTTTCAAAGGCACTAGGATTTTCCTTCTATACTGGAGGTAGGGAGGGTGTCCCCTACGTCGGACTTGTGTGGCCTTAGCCCTAGAAAGACAAACTTGCTGACTCGGCGCAGAGTTAATATCAATTGAATTTATTACAAGTTACTAAGCTCCAAGGCACATTACAGTGTTCTGTTAACTACAGAAATGTATAAAGGACAAACAGAGCAGATTCTCCATGTCTAGCATTTCGCTCTACTGTTCAAAAGCATCCGTGCATCAATAAAGCAAAAACAAAACAACACGTGTAGATCCAACACATTCAGGTCAGTAGAAACAAACCAAAACATTTTCCCCTCACAAACTTGCAACAAAAAACATCCCATCCCCCTCCCCCCGACACCCCCTTACCATTTTGCAAACAAAACAGAAAAACAAAACAAAACGGAACAAAATAAAGTGAAGACTTCAACACTTGGGGCAGTTTAGAAGGAAGCTTTCACCATTTTATAGCATCTTTTTTTTCTTTTTTTTTTCTTTTTTTAGGCAGCAACACTGGCCTTGGCAAAAAAAAAAAAAAAAAAAGTATTTTTCTTTTGTGTGTGTGTTTCCTTTCAGAGTGCATAACATTTACAAAAATACACACCAGCAGCAGTCGTTGCTAAGGGCTATTAATTCTGTACCTAGGCAAACATTCTGCCACCAAATAAATGCTAACGAATATGATGCAAATGACCCAACCGATATTATACTGCTTAACACAAACCAGCTTATCCTTCAAATGAAGAAGTTACATACCTGTTTCAAAATATAGAAACATACGACGAAAATAATGTCTATACATAAGACTAACTTTTTGCAGTTTTGTTATATTCACAATTCTACACCTTGGGGGTGAGGGAAGGGAGGGTCGAGGTGGGTTGGGGGAGGGGCCCTCAGGATTGGAGAGGAGCTGGTCTAGGGCAAAGGAGGTGGCTGCCCAGTGGTTCAAGGGTCTCTTTCCTTTTTCACTTTAACATCCCCAGCTAAGATAGTCGCGATTTCGCCCTGCATGAAGGCCCAAGGTACATTCGACCCGACTAGGGGGCATTTCTCACCGCTGGGGCAATACACCTCGCCGGTGGCCCCCTGGGCCTTGATACTCTCTCTAGAGCAAGGGAAGCAAAATTTGTGGCTGGGGACGGACGGGCACTGAACGAAATGCGTGTCCTCCAAACGTTCGTGGCAAATGGTGCAGCAGAGAGGTCCGCTGTTGGCCATGGGGGAATCCGGAATGTTTTGGGGGTGCACTTGGTCCATGCCCGGGTGGGCGCTAGGCGGCGGGGGCGCCACCTGTAAATTCAGGTCCCCATTACGTGATGCCAAGCGGCGCTGCCCCGGCACGGAGGCCGGCGAGACTGGGCTGCTGCTGTTACGCCGCGCGGACGCAGTGGTAGAGTGCACGGAACTGCCATCCTTGGGCGAGTGCGCTGTGCCCAGAGTATCTGCCACCGACATGAGGGCGGCCATGGGGGACGGACCGTTCTGGGGGGCTGACTCAGGTGGGGTGGTCCGGTTAGAATGAGGTCCCAGAGGTGGGGGCGGCGGAGGCGGACCCCCTGCCGCGTGCCCCG